GCTCCTGGGACAGGACTGGCCGGGGTTCCAGAAGCTCCTCCTCGGGCCCAGGATGCCAGGCCATACCGCCCGGAACGGGCCACGGCGACCCCGTCGGGGACCGCCCAGCCCAAGGCCGGCCTACCTAGCGACGGACAGCGAGAGGGAGGGTGAGTGTCAGCCCCCTAATCTACCGTTACACATGTGTTTTCTTTGTTTACGTTTCTGTTTACGTTCACGTAAGACAAAAAAAGGCTTTGTTTATGATGATATAATGACATAGTTTTCTGCATACTGGTCGATACATATGAAAGAAGTCAGTTCTGGCCCGGAACAACCTTTTCTATAGTGGAAATGCCTAGAACGGTTCGAGAACGAACACAAACCGGGAACCCGTACCGTGACCTCTGTTCTCTGTGCTCACGCTTGCACTTCGTGTGCGCTGCACGCAAACAGGGCGCAAGTTCCTTCCGTTCCTGCACTTAAACCGTTTTAAATCACATTAAAATGCGAACGCAGGAATCGTTAAGCAGAATTGAAATGCACGCGTCTTAACGAATACCACGTTCTTGGAAATTTGGAACCGATTCTAAAATGGAACTGGTTTTCGATACCCAACTTTTAAATATAACTAGTACCCCTTTGACTTGAAGATTTAGATGGAGGGTTTAGCTGTGTTCTGTCCCTCTCTATTCTATTCGTTTACACTCAAACAGCTCATGATGGCATTTTTGTAATTTTGATATTCTACTACTATTAAAATATTAATCATTTTGGACATCTTTTTACCACATTTACTGAAGAGCACTTTGGGACTCAGTATGTATTTATGATACAAATGTAAATAACTGTAAATGAACCTAAAAAGCTGTTGCATGCCTTTCTCATAAGCACTCGCCTGTTAGCAATGCTAATATTATTTAAAGTTATTAATGAGATCATTTAAAAAGTAATATAGTGACTTTATTAAATGATCCTCTACGAAAATACAGTTTTATTGTGTTATTGATGTACTTTCAGGGAGGAACTTGTGAACAAATCTACTTCACAGCACATCAATGAAAGCAGACGGGCAGACGACAATTACAGACGGTTGTATTGGATCAGGGTCAGATCTGAATTCTGCAGGTAGGTAGATCTCCAGGAACAGGATTGGGCAGCCCTATTATATTGGTAATGTATGATGGATTTTGAACTGTACTGTTTTTATTGCAGGTTTTCTGGGATGACAGTTGAGGACATCAGCACATCAGATGTTGGCCTGGACAGCTGTACCTACAGTACACCACACTG